GTCTTGGTGAGGATGCGCTTTGCGTCACCCAGGCGGCTCTGCATAATGAGCAACTAGGGGATTTCGTCGTGGTGAGAACTCCGAAGACAAGCCCGACTGAAGGGATTGCTCCTGCGATAGGCATGACACGCCACCCAAAGTAGAGTCGAAGCTTGGAGAAGTAATAGTTAGAGAGATTGCCGTATAGGACGCGAATGGTGATGAACACCTTAACCACGAAAAGAATGTATGATATATGATAATGGAAGTTCAACATGAAAAAGACAAAAATTGATGACAAATAAAAAAACTGAAAAAGATTCCACAAAATTAGGAAAAAAAGAAAGGAAAATGAGTGAGTGCAGCAGGGAAGCAGATTTAGAAGCCGAAGGCAGGGGACATTAGTGACATAGACGGGGGCAATCAGGAGGGGCAAGGCAACACCGAGGTAGGCGAAGGAGCGGCCGACCAGGAAGACATCATAGTTGGGAGCCAAGCCCATAAGGAGGGGCCCGATGAAGAACATGGCCCCCGCCATCACAATCGTCCAGCGGTGGCAGATCCGATCAGAGGTCAGTCTCGCCATCGCCAACCCGAGGAATGTGAACACATTGAGGATCCCATCACGAACTCAACATGCACATCAAATATCTTCACATCCCCTTTATATATGCCACCGCACTGCTTATCACTATTTGATCTGCCAAAATTCAAAAAGAATTATAAGAAAATATTATTTATCATTATAATGTTCGCATATAAATCGTAACCGTATTTAATAAATTGAAAACATAAAAATATTAAAAAAAATCATGCCCTATTTTCCTCCCTTAGTCTATGAAATTATTTCCAAATATATATGGTTATAAGATAAGAATGATGAGGAATAATAAGTGCGATGGACACTATCCAAAATTAACTTGCTTGGCTAAAAAAAAGAAGAAAAAGTAAATGATATCTAAAATTAAGTAACACATGTGCAACATATGTGCTATATATGTGCAATACACATATAATATGGGAAAAGAAACGTATGACCTAATTGGTGTTCGTGACAACGTCGTCGTTGCACTCCTAGGTATGCCGATAGCCTTCTTGATATCAGCAAGCCAGAGAATGACCTCCTCCTTGGAATTGGAGATCTTGGTGAGGATGCACTTCGCATTGCCTAGGTGGCCTTGCATGATGAGCCACTGGAGGATTCCAGGAACTCCAAAGAGAAACCCAACCAAAGGGATTGCTCCCGCGAGAAGCATGACACGCAACCCAAAGTAGAGGCGGAGCTCAAAAAAGTAATAGCTGAAGAGATTGCCGAGGAGGGTGCCAGTGGTAATGAACACCTGAATCAGGAAAGGACGTATGATATATGATAATACAAGTTCAACATCAAAATGATAAAAATTGATGACAAATAAAAAAAGTGAAAAAGATGCCACGAAATTAGGAAAAAAAGAAAGAAAAATGAGTGAGTACGTCAGGGAAGTAGACGTAGAAGCCATGGGAGAAGACAGGGGAGATCTCAGTGACATAGATAGGGGCAATCATGAGGGTGCCAACGCCGTGGTTGGCGAAGGAGCGGCCGACTAGGAAGACAAAATAGTTGGAGGCCAAGCCCATAGGAGGGGCCCGACGAAGAACATGGCCCCCATAGTCCAGCGGCGGCCAATCCGGTCAAAGGACAGTCTCGTCATCGCTAACCCCCTTTTTATATATGCCACCGCCCCGCTCATCATTGTTTGGTCGGCTAAAATTTAAAAAAAAAAAGTAACAAAACCTTATTTGTTATTACAATGTTCGCACGTAAATCGTAATCGTATATAAGAAAATGAAAACATAAAAATAAAAAAAATTCACACCCTATTTTTCTTCCTTTTTCTATGAATTTATTTTCCAAATATATGATTATAAGATAAGAATGATGAGAGATAATAAGTGCGATGGACACTATCTAAAATTAACTTGCTTGGCTAAAAAAAAGGAAAAAAAGTGGATGATATCCAAAATTAAGTAACACACGTGCAATTCACGTGCAACATGGAAAAAGAAACGTCTAATTGGTCTTCGTGACAATGTCGTTGTTGCCCTCCTTAGATATGTCGGTAGCCTTCATGATATTAGCAAACCAAAGTGCGGCCTCCTCCTCGGAATTGGAAGTCTTAGCGAGGATGTGCTTTGCGTCACCTAGGCGGCCTTGCATGATGAGCCACCGGGGAATTCCAGCATGGCAAAAACTCCCAAGAGAAGCCCGACTAAAGGGATTGCTCCAGCGATAAGCATGACAAGCCACCCAAAGTAGAGGCGGAGCTCGGAGAAGTAACAGTTGGAGAGATTACCGAGGGTGCCAATGGTGATGAACACCTGAACCATGGAAAGGACGTACGATATATGATAATGCAAGTTCAACATGAAAAAGACAAAAACTGATTATTAATTAAAACAAAGTGAAAATAAAGCCACAAAATTAGGGAAAAAGAAAATGAGTGAGTACGTCAACGAGTAGATGTAGAAGCCGTGGGAGAAGCCGACTAGGAAGACAGCATATTTTTTTTTGCAAGCCCATAAAGAGGGGCCCAATGAACCAAACACTTATGATCTAAATTTCTCAATGATTTTATCATAAATAACTTCTAAAATATGGATAATAGATAACAATAAAAATCAATTATGAATTTGTTATAAATGCCAAAATACTCTTTGGTGCATACCTCCACTGTATTAGAGAAAGGTCCAATACCAACAAAGTATTTCAAAAAAAAAAACCACACAATCATTAAAATCAGCCTCAAGAGATAAACTTCATATTAAATACAAGTTGCAAGAAGCTTTAGTAATAAAAAAATCAGATGTCCTATAAAAACATATTTTATTTTAATCAAAGATATGAGACAACACGTGATCTTAGGAATACCATTTATACAACTAATTCAACATTTTACTGTCACAAATGAAGGTATTCAAACTCAAGCTTTAAATAAAAAAATCACTTTTAATTTTATCACCAAACCTCAAACGAGAAATCTAAATATTTTACAAGAGCATTTAATTTCAAAAATTAATTATCTCATCAGAAATAAAGAAAATCAACATCAATTTTTAAAAGAAGATTTAGAATTCAAAAGGAGAGATATAAAACCCAGCATGGTGTTGTCAAAATTTGAATCTTTCACGATTTCGGCCAATCGATTATTAATTAGTAGAAATTTCCTATCTCTTTAAAAGGTAATCTAAATTGTTGGGAAGAGTAATCTAAATTGTTGGGAAGAGAGATTTATCGTGTATAATAGAAAGATTAACTTATCCAATATCACTCTATATTCATACGCAGTTAATTTAATTTGTTTGATCTTCAGACAATGGATATTTGACTTTTCATAATGTATCAAATTAAATTGGGAAATTTTCAAATAAGAGCTTGAAGTGTCCTTATTTTCTCAAATAAGGGTCTGAAGTGGATTTTGTGTTAAATAAAGGCTTGACATGTCTTCATTTCTCAAATAAAAGGTCTGAAGTGAATTTTGTTTCAAATAAGGGCCTGAAATAGCTATGTCTATTCTAACGAAAGGTTTGACTTTCCGGATAGTAAGGGCATTTTTGTCTTTTAATTTTTTTTGAAATTTTTTCCTGTTTTTCTTTCTTTTCTTTTTTCCTTTTTTTTTCTTTCGTTTCTTTTTATGGTTTTCTCTTTGTTCTTCGCTGATGGCCGGCCACCAGCGAAGCCGGGGAAGGGCTAGACGAAGGCCACCCTCGCCCGACTTGGCAGGGGCCACCCTCGCCGGCAACAGGTGACTCGCCGTCCCTCGCTAGCAGCTAGCAAGGCGACCCTCGCCCATGGTCAGCGAGGGTTGCCTTGCTTGTTACCGGTGAGGATGGCCCTCGCCCAACCCTTCCCGGACTTTGTTGGTGGCCGGCAATCGACCAATGACCAAGATAAAGTGAAAAACCAGAAAAAAGAAAAGAAAGAAAAAGGAAAAAAGAAAAATAAATTTAAATTATTTTTGGACGAAAATGCCATTAACTTGTCGAAATATTTCGCCAGCCGGTGATCAGCGAGACCAGGCCCTTATTTGAAACTGTCATAGCCACTTAAGGCCCTTATTTAAAACTAGCATGCCACTTCAGGCTCTTATTTGATACAAAGTCCATTTCAGATCCTTATTTGAGAAAATGAGATCACTTTATGCCCTTCCTTAGAATTTTCTCAATTAAATTCTTCAAATATAAATTAATTGGATAAATATTTTGCCAATGTTATTTAGTAAACAAAATAATATTCAAATTTTATTAAGCTCCACAGTATCGTGTGGGAAATTTCTAGTTATGCTATCAAATTTGAGTATAAAAAAACAAAAGAGGATTCAGTACTGGAAAATATTTCTTTATCAAAACCAAAAAAGTGGTAAATAATTGCGACCATCCATATGTAATGCGTTCTCCAAATTGATAATGACATAAATGGTTTCTGAATTTTGGTCCATTGTGCAATGTGATCTATTAACTTTTAATTTGTTCAATGTGATCCATGAACTTTAGCTCAATGTGCAATTTATTCAATGTGACCTTTGAACTTTAGGTACATGTTCAAACTAATCCATGAACTATATAAAAATATCCAATGTTATCCTTGAATTCTCATATAATTTAGAGTTTAGTTTGAATATGTACCAAAAGTTCAAGAACGATGTTGAACAAATTGCACATTAGACTAAAGTTTAAGGATCATTAAACAAATTGAAAGTACGACGATTATATTACACATTGGGCCAAAGTTCCAAAGATTATACATGTCATTCTCCTTCTCCGAATTGAAGCATGTCTTAAACGGATGGGAAAAACATTTTTAAATTTGTGTTTTCTTTTATCCGGTACATTTTCCATTTAGTAAATATAATAAACAGTACAAAAAAACATAACAAACATAATAATAATAATAATAAAATGCCGCTCATGTCACCATTATTCACAAATTTTAATCCCAAAAAAAATAAAAAAAAGGAATTACCATCTTCAATTTCCCATTATCCACCACCTCTTCCGACCTGTCTCTTTCTTCTCTCGAACCAAATCGATCGTCCCGGAAACCGCACCTCCGCAACCCCACCCAGATGCATAATCGTCTCTTGGCCATGGAGAAAAGCTGTGAAATCGAGCTGCAGAGAAGATTCAGGACCGAAAATTAGGGCTTCGATTCCGCTCGCGATCGCCATTGGTCGGCGGCTGAATCAGCGCGATCAATCCTTCCAACAATTTGGAAACTCGAGGAAAAGGGGGATAATGGGGAGGGAGGAGGACGGAGACCCGAATCGGGAAAATCCAGGGCCTCCGAACCGGACCCATCATCATCAGGGGAAAAGGGAGGAGGAGGAGGAGATGAAGCTCTGGGGCGTTCTTGCCTTCGGCCTAATTGGCGCCACAGCTACCACTTTGGCGGTCGGTTCTTTGTTTTTTTTTGTTTTTTTTTCAATTTATTTGTTTCATTCGTGTTGCTTTTCCGTTGTTTTCTCTTTTCATTGGTTTTAGTATTCTTCTGTGTTTTTCCGGAGAAAATCGTGGCGTTGAATGTTGTAGAGTTATGGGGTTATCGTTGGAGTTATTATTTGAATTGGTGCACTGAAGATGATGTATTGAAGTCGGAGATATTACTTGTATTGATGCTTTGAAGAAATGGGTTGTGCAAAGTTTCATTACAATTCTCAGAAAGTCCAGTTTTTTTTTTTCAAAAAAAAAAGAAAAAGATTTGAATGATAGCATCCTTCATAGTGGTATTGGCTAGATTTTTTTGGGTATTCTTAGTTTGATCGGTTTGATGTTCGGTGTTGTGTTGATTGAATTTTCCGTGCTAGTTTATGTTCTTGTAGTTGCTTATGATTAATACCCAGTTTAGGTGCTGATATTCGCATCGATACGGCAGGTTTCGCGTCTTCGGCAAACCGTAAATTGGGTCTACGCTCAGGTAGGTAAATATGTTTTTTTTTTTCCTGCATTTGCATTTTCATTACACTTCATGGCTGTGTAGTGTTCGTAAATATTGGTTACACCTCTAGTTATTGGGTCTTGTATAGGTAGGCACTTACCTGCTTTTTGCATTTTACTTTACACTTAATGACAACGTAGTGTTTTCAAGTGAAATTAGATTGAAATTTTGAGTAAATTTCTTCTGTCTCATGACTTTTGGAATTTGACTGAGAACCTGACTGCACTGTATAACAAAAGTTAACCAGGTCGCATGAATCGGCAAAATCTTTCAGAACGGCTTTTCAAGAGGAAGCTTGGAAGAGGTACAATCGACGAATGCAGGAAGCATATGAAGAAGAAATGGAGAGAGTGGTGAGTTTGTAGTTTGATCTGTCCTGTTTAACTCTTAGTTTGTTGAATCACCTTTTGAGCACTTTCTATAGACCTAGCTTAACTCTTCTCCTTTATTTATGTTACCAGTCTGAATTTCCCTGTATGTAACCATTATGTTTCATTGTCTCTTAAACCAGAGAAGCTGGTAAAGATCATCGGCTACATGATTTGAAGTGGGGCATTTTCTCCAGTTAGTGGAGCAATTGGTAAAGTCCTTACTAGGATGTGTAGAATTGAAGAGCCGTGTCTACATCATTGTTATATAAGCATGAGTTTATAGTGTTAAACGGGAATGTAAGTATCCAAGTTTCGGAGGGATACACTTCTAAGTAATTTTTCCATTAAAGTTCTCAAAGAGAGCACCTCAACATGCAAAAGTAGGAAAACTGAAAGATTTTTATTGGCCTTTTATGTCATTTTTGAAAGTTCCATTTGTTTTGTTGTTCTTGTTCGACAAATTTGGCCCTCTTCAGTGAGAAACTGCAAATTTGTACATCCAAGTTTTTCTTTAAGTTCCTTGAACATTGTTCGCATTTATCCACCTCATCATATCATGGACTTTCACCAAGTCTTAAGTGAAAGTAAGCATGAATATGATAGGCCGTCGATTCTGAATGAATGTTGTTGCTAAGTATCAGAGGTTATTTGGTTAAAACCAATGTTTGCGAGTCGATTCAAGAGAATATCTAGACTAATTTGCATCGCGTGTTTGTTGGGGAAAGCAACTGGTTGCTTGGATTCTTTTTCTGCACTTGTCACCACTTGACTATTTGATAGTTTAATATTCAGTACGCTTTCTGCAGGAGCGCATAAGGCGTATGCAGAGTGTGTTTAATAGAGAAAGGAGTAAATATAATAGGGGTTATGAGAGCTGGAAGGAAAATGATGGTGGTGCATATACTCAGCAATTCCAGCGGGATGATTGGTATTGGAAGGCAGATACATCGTCCAGATATCGAAGTACTAATTTCAGGAGAGCTCCGAGGGAGAATGCAAGCTACCCATTGTCACATCATTACTCAGTTTTGGGCCTTGATAGGTGAGGCAATGTTGCAGATCCTGGTGATATGGAAACTGAGATGCTACATGTACCCTTTATGTTTTGAAAGCAGCACCTAGAGTTAAAGAAAGAACTACCTAATGATTTATCTCATCCTCTTGAAGCCATATAATTTGGAAGGGATTGCTTAGCTATATTTTGATCTGTATACTGCTTACTGAATCTGGGGTCTGAATTGTTTTCCCCTTTCCTGCTGGTGACCAGTCCGTGTTCCCCTTTCCTGCTGATGACTAGTTCTTTTTCTTGATCCAGTTTACAGCACCGATAAGCGCTTTAAAAAGATTCCTTGGTTGTTAAAAGGAGTTTGTATCAACTAGATTGTGTTTGTTCAATATCCCCCTTTGGTTATACAAATATATAAGCCTGTAAATCTTAATGTATCAGGATACTGCTAGAACCCAGAACATAGCTTTTATAAGTCATACTTGACTGTCATTTATATTTGCCGGTAGTTTCTATGCCCGAGGCAATTTAGTCTTTTATACTCTGAATGACCTTAGAGCAATTAGTTCTGGCAAAAACTAATCATGAGCTGAGATGCGAACGTTAATGTAGTTAGGTGGCTAGATTGTTTACATCATTTGGAATTAGAACATGACTTTTTTTCTTATTTGGTTGCAAAAGGTCAAGGAAGACGCCATACACGGATGCTGAGATCAAGGTACGTGTTTCCTGTATATGAATCCCTTTATGTCTATCTTGTGTGCATTACATGGACAATCCTCTAATTTTCCTGTCATTTCTTCTATACATTTTGCTATGTTTGTTGTATATTTCCCCATATCTGTGGGGCTCTGCTAATAGAAGATATATTTGATTCAGACTGAATTTTACCAGGTGATTAGCAAGTTACTTGAATTTGCTTGCGGATTATGAACATTGATAGTGCTTGTAGTTAGCTCATGCGTATGACTCATTTTTTTTTCTTTATTGTCAGACTTAGAATTACTAGGTGGACTTGGAAGCAGTTACTTAATATGACAAAGTTGGCAAATAAATTAGAGCCTGTCTGGGCTCGCTTGGCTTTTCTCTGTGATGTTTTAACATGCATTGAACTTTGGTTTTCAATTTAGACATAAGTTTTAGTAATTTAGGTGTTGGGAAATGTGACATCGAACTTAAAATTGACTATGGCTTATTACGAAAAATTGCCACATCAAATTTTTGAAGGCATGGATGTATATAGTGTGATAATGCATGTTCGTTAAATAAACTCTTGAAGTAACTTCCGCAAGTTGAGGCCAATAAGCTGTTGTCCCTTAGCTTCTAGCTTATACTTTTTTGGTTGAAAGCTCTGGTAAATTACCCCCGCTCAAAAAGTAGGAAAGGAAACTGGAGAGAGAGAGAGAGATGCAATTTTGGAGCCGAAATTTTCAGCCATCTTGCCACTATGTTCGAGTTTATCCTTGCAATAGCAACAACAACAAAACTAAGGCTTATTCCATTAAGCGGGGTTTTCTATATAAATCCTTTCAATGCAATTGTTCTTGGTTGTGCACGAAATATTCTGTAAGATACAGGTTCTCTGTATCTATCATGTTTTCTCTTCTTCTTTTTTCTTTCTTTTTGTCTCTTTTAAACAAGTCTTCATCTTATTATACCTTCTTCTCTCTGGAGCATCCGGAGGCTGTTGTTCTATGTTTTCAAGCCATTTGAAACAGGCTTCTATCCTCTAATCGCCATTGGATGACGTCCCCATTTTGCTCCATTGAGTTCATCCTTAATCATTACCTTGATGGAACTGGCTGCAGTGAAAATACTGGGATGGAATTTTTCGGAAACGAGTGATATTTACCCTCGTTTCTACTGTCTTTTTGTGTCAGAAGCAGCTCAATATCTCCTCATCTGCATTGCCTGTGGCATGCATTTTTTTTTTTTAAACCTTTTACGTGCTCATTTCATATAATTTGGGTTTTATATTGCTGCAGACGGCATTTAGGGCCAAAGCATTGGAGTTTCATCCGGATCAGAACCAGGATAACAAAGGTAGGATGTGCTTGTTTGCACTGATCAGAATCTCGCACCCAGATGCCATCATCAACATCTCATGGTTTAAGTTTTAGATGACATTGTTAACATTGCATATTTTACTGCAGTGGCTGCTGAGGCGAAGTTCAAAGAAGTAATGGTGTCTTACGAGGCCATCAAAAGAGAACGGGAAAATAATTAGACCTAGCACATTGGCTTAATTCTATATATGATATTCCAAGGAATGACATCAAGGATGCAATAGCAGATGACGGAACGGTGCCGATGCGCTACGTTTAATTCCCAGGTCACTAACTGGGAAGAAGATACTGCACCGGATTACAAATTTTGCAGAGTTAGTGGGCATTTCTTGGACTTGTGTCCTGATACCAGGGTGTCGGGGCAGAATAAAAATCTATTGTGTAAAACCACGTGAGACGTGGTTAGGGAATGTCTTTGTAGTGCATGATTGTTCGATTGCACGGCACGGCACTCTTTAATTGCCAAGATGTCACTGAAAGTAAAGTCACTCATTTGAGCTGGTTTTTGCCCCCTTCTTTTTTCGGTTTTCTATGATGGTTCGCTTTGAGCTACATGGGTCTACACAATTTTTTTATCTATGGTAAAGAAGAGGGCATGGAGTTACTTGTAAACTGCGATCAGCTGGGTATGGTTACTGCATGCTTGTTTTGAACCTCTTGTTGCCGCTTTGTCTATATGAGTGGTGGTTGAACGTCAGTTGTCTTCATCTTTTGGACCTACCTATGTACAATTTATGTTGCCCATTGCCCTTCTTACTGATATGGAATGATGGTGCCAAGCATCTGGAATCTGTAACGAAGGACCAGGATCGAATTGAGTCTGTTAGGCCTCGTTTGGTTGAATGTTGAATTGGAATCCTCAAGGACTAGGAAATCTAAATACAAGAATGATCATGTTTGATTCATTGAAAAACTAGATTAGGTTCATTGCTACTCCGGGCCGCCTCCGACCGATCCTATTAAAGCTGACCAAAGTCATACGCACCTTGTTTTACGTCCCGGCAGTCGAACAACCCAAAGACCCTCTGTTTCTCCCTTTTATTTTTCTTCCTTGAGAGGAGGGAGTATTTCAAATCTCCTAAGACCTAAGGGAGAGACCTTAGGAGATGGAGTCTTTTAAGAACCTGCTCCGATCTAAAAAATCGGATTATCTATCAATTATTAGGATTCAGATTCTAGTTCCACGTTTCTAAAAAAAAAAATGAAAAACCACCTTCACCACCTCCAAGGCTCCGCCTCCTGTGAGCTCTCCCCAGCACTGCCACGCAATTGCCGTCACGGCATCCACCACCTCCATCGCCGTGGTCACCGCCACCATCGTTGTCGTCTTCCTCGTTAAACATTGTAATGTACCTGACGGTTGGGAGCTGTCAGTGGAAGGTGGCGTTAGTTGGGCTGAAGAAGAGGAGACGGTGAATCTGGGCAAGAGGGCATTACCTGTTTGAAAAGGATTGAAGAAGAATCGGGCGCTATTACAGGACCACCGATGAAAGCTCGAGTGGAGTACCTCAGCTAATGAACCTACTCGAGAGGAAGCGTAGCGTGAGCTTGGAACTGCTGGTTTCTGCGCCATTCCTGACATTTCCATTGTTTGCATTTGTAATTCGTGAAGTTGTTTCGCGGTATTCCCTCTGTTTCTTGGTTCTGTGTATGAACCTCATAAACTCATCCAATATGAAAATGAAGAAATTTTTCTTCTCGACTCTTTAAAGTCTCTCCGAACCTTCTCGTCTAATTTTGATTCTTATTCTAAGTCTTGACAAACAGCAAGCTCGTCGCACTGCGCTTGTCACACGATAGTCTCTGTCTCTCAAACTTAAGACGCTCGATGGAGCCGAGCCCTGCCATTGAAGCCATGGAGGTGTGTTCGATGGTCGAGATGTGTTCGCTCATAAACGCGGGAAACTTTCTAATATTCGATCGATGGAAAAAGAATATGATTCAGGGAATTACTGGGAATGAGAATCGTCAATGGAACCAACAAGGCCTTACTATCAAGAGAAAAGCTAAATTACAAGTAGATAAGTTCAATTACTCAACTCCTAGTTGGAAGAACATTCAACCTCCCCTGGACTTCTGAAAAAACTGCCTTTGGTCAGGGCAGCAACCTAACTCCACTAAACCGACACTCACTTGACTGGTGGAGCTCTGTAATATGCCGGGACGGTTGCCGGGAAGAACATTTGCCTAACCCCTTCTGCTCGGATGATCGGGAATATAATCCCGGATGCGTCCTGCAAAAATGATTTAAACATCTGTCATATAGCACGAATGCATGTGCAATATTGTGCCAAGAAGGTAACAAAGGCTGGAGACAAAATGAGAGATGTATGTGAGACGTGAAATGACTCACCGAAATCAATCTGGCTCCAATCCAGATGCGTTTAGGAGAAGGAAACGGCAGCAACAAACGCCCCACACCATATATCGCAACTGCGAAGAAGTGGAGAACCAAGCTCAGTGGACGAGGATTCAGACCGGAGAGCAAAGAAACAGGTCCCGTCGAGAACAAGCCCCCAAGGCATAGATAGTCGAAGCACGCTTGTCGCATCTCCTTCCTCGCTTCATCGGGCGACGCACAAAACACCTTGTACAGAGCCCCTGCCAGCGTATTTATCGTGGACGCTACTGGCTGCAGATACAAGAGATCACAATTAGTCTTCTTCAACACAATCTAAAAACTTTGCACAGGTAAAGACACTAGCAACTGATAGGACTCACCTTACGCAATGTGTAGAACGATTCGAGATACTTGCAGAGAGCAGGCACGTCATTGAGGTCCCTCAAAGGCCGTAGAAGATCCCGTAGCACGACGATATCAGAAAGTGCCACGGTCATTCCTCCTCCAGTTAACGGATGACGCATATTGAAAGCATCCCCCATTAGCAAAGCTCCTGGAGTGGGATGCGGAGCGGCCGGCATGCTTCTGTTCGGCATGGTCCGTATGTTTCCTCTATCCACCGCAGCTACAAAGGCGTCAAGGATTTCAGGGGGAACCTGAAGTGCCCATAAACACCCAGTCAGCACAAGATCACATATGGAACACTAGTTATTCAAAAACAAAATCAAGGATTGACGCGAAGAATCCCGAGTAATGAAAAGGTTTAATGAAGGTAGTTTGTCAGATGTACCTGAGGTGCTACCACGGTTTTTAGATAGTTTGCCATTTCGCCATTTGAAATTGAAGGCACCTTTTGGCCCGGTACATCGACCAGACAGCGGACCTCCGTGCTACTTATGGGGTAAAAGAGGATTGGAGATGGATCAGCTAAAATGACGTGCCCATGGTTCGCATAAGGAAGGTTGCAGTTCTCCAGAACCAGACCGACAAAACAGGATGGCACATCAACCTGCACATGGTGTGAAGCTAATTCAGAAACTCTTTGCAAACATACACACCAACAGTTCAAGTATTTCCAGCACGACTGCATCTAAAGACGCAAAATAGCCAACATCATCATATGAAAAGTCATTTCTAGGAGAGAGCAACGTTGGCCCTCCTTAGTCCTTACCTTGGGATCGCAAAGGGAACGTCGCAAATTCGAGAAGCACCCGTCGCAAACAACGGTCAAGGGTGCGTATGCTGTGAGCTCTTGACCTGTTCTTGTCTTGTATTGGATTCCTTTGACAGTTCCGTTGTCTTCCAGCAAAGAAGTGACTGTCCCTTGCTCCAGTTGCACGCTGATGGAAGTCAAAAGATTAACTTGATCAACAATTGACAAAAAAAAAGGATGTGGGTAATGTCTTTACAGAAAAATACCAAATAGGAACAGCGATAATTGAGGTCTGCTGCAATCATACAAATCAAGAGTCAAAGGAAAGAGCTGGGCTAAGGCATGAAGAGGTCATCTTGTCATAAAATAAATTGTTTTTAAGTCGTTCTTATTTGGATAATGCAGAACAGAAAATGATTGTCAAATCGAGTAGCCAACAAACAATGAAATGAGCCGATACAGAGTTCAGATGTATTTACTTGGGGAGAGCGGCTGCTTTTTCCCGCATTTTCTGTATGAAGCGGCCATTGTGGAAGCTCCTACCGGAAACATCAGAGTCAAACATTTCCAAGGGATAGGAAAGTCGAGCATTTCGTCCATCCTTGAACAGTGCATAACCAAACACCTGTTGTGCATCAATTTTCTCCACGCAATCTGCATTCACCAAGTTTGATTCTGTGAGCAGTTTTGTTTCCAGTACTCGTGGAAACGAGAAAAATAACTACGATCATAACCAAGCAATGGTAAGTGCTATCTACTTCCACTCTAGTACTTGTTGGAAAGAGAGAGACAAATACATTTCCAATCAAGCGAAGGCGAGTAACACCCGAATCATTGTCGAGAAACATCAAAAGTTTTACAAGACTTACCTTCAAGTCCCAACTCAATCAGTTTGAGGTAACCACCTGGCTGCAACAGCTCTCCCACAATCCGGTCAGGCTCCGTCAAGTCCCTTTCAATTACACGCACTCGGCGGCCGTCCTGCTTTTCACATGCAGTTGATCGATTAGGAACAGAATTTGAAACTGATGACCAGCAAAGGGCAAAGCTTGTATCCAGCGACAACGAATTAAAAAGGGGACAAGATATTCAAAAGATCAGAACTCTGATTTAGAAAGACTTGTTGAAAAACAGTCAATTAAAGAATGCATGAACTTGTGCAGACTTAAGATCATGGCATAATATAGCAATAGAAAAACTCAGAGATCAGAAAATGGCAATCGTAGTCCCAACTTGTCCATTAATACAAGGCCTAAACTAGCCAGACTCTGTGCTTTATCTGAACTGTGCAAGTGTGCATAGAGTAAACCAGCAGGAAAAGTTAAAGCAACCACTCTTAATTCAAAACTTTGGTTCTATCTGTAACTTCGCTACATAGTTCATCAGGATTAGATGAATCCACACACTCAAGAAGTCGAGATTGAAATAATTTCATGTCTTACGAACTAACCAAACATTTTCGGCAAAAACAAATTTCTCAAGATGGCAATATGCCCACTGGACCCAAGATTCCTCCAGTCAAGACAACACGGTTATGCAGCATCCATTGCTCATCTGGTGGAGGCAATCACAATACCTCCCAGAGAGAAACCAAACTTGCCGCATCATGTCTCTCAATCAGAACTCAAATTTCCAACCAAACCAAGGGGATAAAAAAGAGATGTTGCGAGATCATATCTCATAATATCACCAGAACTTTCGAAAGAGTGGATCAACCTTCCTGAATTGAGCAGTATATCATTTTCCACTTGGCCAGAAGTTCAGAATACCATAAACCATCCCTATAAAACCCATAGAAATAAAAATTCTTTTTTGTGAGATGTTCTCGGTGCAGAACAAAATCCCAATCTTCAGACTGATAGTGTCAACTCGTCCAATAATTTGTTGGTCTCCATACAAGAAAAAGAAACTACTGCATCAATCATAGACAAAACAAAAGGCAAGAAAAAATTCAGTTGCATTGATATTACCTTCCCGAGCGTGTAGGCGAGAGCAGAGCCAGCGACACCAGCTCCAACGACAATGACGTCAAAGTCACCCCGGCCACTTTCGTTCGCCGATCTGCTCTCCTTGTCCCTCGTGGTTCCCATGCTCTTCACGCATTCACTCCCATTTCGTCTCCTCTTTCTGGCAACCAAACGGTAAAGAAACAAGACCCCGAGAACAGAGGCCAAGATGCCACCCACATAGTAGTACCCGTTCGGATTCTCATTCTGAAAAAACTGATCCGCCATTCTCGAACTGCTCCAAAAGGTTACAAAAGGCAGCGAAGGAGACCCGTAACGTAGATGGAAATTTCGAGGCTTTTCGAGCTGCCGATCGATCGAGGGTCTTCCTTTTTCTTGCCTTTTCTTGTAGGCTTGCGATAGCTTCGCTTTTCTTTGCCTCTCGGAACGCGCGCAGCTGAGCTGTCGTGAACTAAATTCGGGGTAATGCGTGTGCGCGTTCGTGTGTTGTGTCTGACGTCTGCGTTGGGATTGATTCGGCAACTGCAATATTTATAGGAACCGAGACATCGGCTTTTCGGTCGGTCGTCAAACGACCGCGACAAAGAACGACTCAGTGAAAGTCCTTCATGCTGACTCCTGCTTCGTGCATGCTAGGACCCTTTTCTTGCTGTCCTCGTTTTCTTGTTTTTTGCTCTTACATAATCCAGGATACGAGCACAGGAGCAGAAATCGGCTACTTTGAACTTATTGTATAATTTTGTAGACCGAGTCTATCTCGACTTTGGAGTGGTCCAAATGGGTGTATAAATCATGCAATAATTTATCTAGGGTCCGTGAAGAGCTAGTCAACCGAGAACCGGGGCGAAACCCGAATGTGTTGGGGAGCGCATAGCAGCAGAAGCCCGATACCTTCGTTCAGAGAGAGAGAGCCCGAGCCTAAGTCTATTAACTTATCGAGTTCGATTTACCTTCACTCAAAAGATCAAGTCTATGAGTTATGAACCGATTATAATATAGTAATTATTTTACGCCACACTAACTTTCCGATGTGGGATTTCTCTAACACAATTCACATGTGCATCCTAACATAATGGACTCAGAGTGCTTCCTTGCTGTTGATGTTAGCGACACTTCAGCGAACAATGGTCATAAATGACGACAATGGCACCGGTGATAAAACGACGCAATTGTACCAAACCTATGACTGTGAGAGTCGCTCATGCTCAAAGAGCAAACTACGATCTAACCAAATGCTATTAGGCCCGCGCCTAGTGGCTAGAAGTGAGACGAGGACAATGGATTGGTGATCCATTCTTATGACTTTAGAATAACCAAAATCTCAAATCTGTACTTATGGACACTTGATGTCATATGGAATGATGACAACTGTTTAAATATTTTGTTAAAGCCAAAATTATTACCGAGGGAAAATATAACAAGCGAAATGCCGATGTTTTCGCTTAAAAGAGTGACAACATAAGACTCGGGTCATCAGATCAGGACTCGTGGATGTATGAGTTCAAATCTCTCTATTGCATTAGCTTTAAAAAAAGAGATAATGATTCGCAAAAATGGCGAAAAAATTTAAACGGTATGGAAATTACTGACCCCGACATACATATTTCTCGACACAACTAAAAATAGTCTAGGAAATCATTATTTTATGTCGGAATTACGAGGAAACACAGCCTAACCAAAGTATCAATAAGGAATATTGTTACATTTTCGAAATTCTACGTATTTCTACAATTATATCTTCTTTTTCTTTTTCTTTTTCGTTTTTTTTTGGTGTATCGACCAAAAATTGTTGGAGCCGGCCAGATGAAATGGCCAGACGCGGGTGAGTATGCGAGCGTTTGTCGTATGGTGCGCGAGTCAAAACAATGTGTGTGAAATTGAGTGGGGAGGTCGAAAGTGGAGTCAAATGCATGGATGCTGAAGGTTGGGTTTGGTGGGTCGCACCCGCCAAGCAAGAACCTACGTTCGACTTGACTCAGTTCGGCCGTTCCCACCCTACCGTCGTGCCACACTTGCCTAATCACATCACTTGTCAACCGGGTTTTCGTAATATCCTGAACCCGCCTCGCTAAAGCTATCAGGTTCCGTCTGGTGCTCGCGATAAACCCGCCGTGGTACTTTACCATAAATATCGAAATCTTATGTTTAGACAATCTCAAACGTGCAAAGGTAATTATTGATTTGAAACTTGTGTATCGTAAATCTCCAATTAGAAATATGCGGGAGCCAAAATATTAGATTTTAAAAAAAAAATTTAAGATCAATGGCCACAAAAATCTAATATAAGGTTTAGAACTTGGGTATAAAATGGTGGCCGTCGTTGAAAATTGCTATTTTGTACAAAACTTCGTCCTTACCGTTAACATTCTGTAGTTAAGTAGTCTCCATAATTTGAACAGTGTAGGAGCAACTTAGAAAATTTTCAACAACCATTACAAATCTTAACAGAGTTTATTACTATGTATATTTGCTCGACGTCTAAGGAATATAAAGGTAACAAAGGCTATTTTAATAGCCATGCATATCGAATTCAGATATCGGTTTATTACTCGTCCCCGCTTTGTTCCCTAGGTTGCTCTAGGGCACGAGCACAGATGCCTGAAAACCAGAAGCCCGTGGAACATCCTATAAGCTCTCCGAAAGAAAGGGTCAAGTCCAAGACTTCGGCTTCGGCCTGTGCAAGTAATCTTAACTCGAAGCAATTTGTACTTAATTGGTGGGATTTGAACGGTTGAAAATTCTCTGACGCCCCGACCAATTGTGCCAACTTTGGAGTTGGTCCACAGAAGATGTCGGATTTTCGCGTACCCAATCGGTTCTCGCGTCGCGTGGTAGTCAACATCTCGTGCAGTTGTACTTAGCAACTGAATATGATTCGCAAAGGATACAAATCGTGACGTTGAAGGTGGTCCTGAAAGAAATGCGAGGGTGGCGATTCAAATTAAGTGTTAAACTCGAGACTAACGTACTTAGCTTTTGAACGATTCCTTGAACTTGAAGTTCCCTCAATTTCCTTTTTTTCATTTTTTTTTCTCTTTTGGTCTTTCATTTACTTAACTAAAAGAATTCAAACAAGTGAAAGTAAAATGCACTCATCGACATGAGTTCAATCGAAGGACGAATAGGCTATGATGAAACTTGGAAAAAGGAGGCTTACCTCCTCTACAGTTCGATCATCCATGTAATGAGTTGACTTTAGATCTTTGAAATTCGTTTTTTCTAAGAAAAGTAACACTTATTATCTTACGATACGAATTGATGATTTTTTTTTTGGTGTAAAATGTAAGAAGTATATAACGAATCGATACAAATCGTTTTTTTGATTTTTTTGGTGTAAAATGAGTTAACACTTTTTTTTTTGTCATTACGAATCGATGATTGCACTTTTTATCCTGTAAATTACTATAATTATCATTTTTTTCAGTTATGTCTAATTAAGAATAGGGTTACACTTGACATTTTTGGCTACAATGATTGTCATGACGGTACTAATCACTTCGACTATTACAAATTTGTCTTGCCAAAAAATAACGATACCGACCCGGTTACGCATATTGTCGATTAGTGCACTAAACTCGGTGATGTGAACACAAACTCCAATGTGCAATGCACAAGAGACGTGGAACGAATCAATCGCATTACAAAATCACAGTAACAATGCCCACAGATCGTGTTCATGCTTATTTCACGGTGGTCCAATATAAATTGGACTAACGGGACTAGGACCACCACCAATCCAATAGCGCACCCCTTGAGTTCCTGAAATCATCGATAATGCAGCTAGGCCAATAATTGCAAGACCACGACGATAGAAACTCCAACTGCAGATTGGATTTTAAAGATTAATTAATCTTGATTTTGGTGTCCACCGGCAAATATTTGAGTGATAGGACATAGGATTAGTTAAAAGAAATCATATGTTACATCAAATTACGGGACCAATGTAGTGGTCCAACTGATCACACTAGCTTCGATTTCAGACTTCTAGTAAATGTGTGCACTGTGCATATGATCAGATAAGTGATATGATTCAGCTCCTAATTGAATTCGATATAGGTGATGACAAACCGATAGATGCTTTTTCGGTTACGGGGCAATTTCCGCCCCATTTTAGTCCGATACCCGCCTTTTATTGTGAATTGTGGAAGATACCGTTCTGCGGATGGAGAGAAATGAAGAACTAATTGACCCGACTTATCGATAATTTAATTAACTCTGCAATCACAATAAATGATTTTATACGAAGAAAATATCAAATAACAAATGATTTTTAATAATTTATATATTTATCGTTCTAAATGTGCTTTTCCTACTTTAAAAAGAAGTCATGATAGGGCAGCTAAAATTAAATTCAAAGATTCTTCCCATTAGTAATCTTCGTGGACTTGGCAACTCTTTTTTCGAATGGCAATAATTTCATTTAATTTTCCATTTGCAAAATAGCATAATGGACATTAAGATCTCTCCATTTCCATGACCATATATATCGATTTTCCATCATTAATTGTTATTAGCGTAACAAGCACATATTATTTTTAAAGTGCCATAATAACTATACTATTTTAAATTCGTATATTTTACAATTATCAAATATTTCAAAAATCTCTTGAGATTGATTTTCACTTATCTGTATTAATCTGTTTGTTACTTTTTTTGTACTGTTCACAAATCAACATCTTCTTCTTTTTTTACCTTAGTTTTGGTCAAATTTTGCTAGAATATTTATATTCCGTAAGAATCCTCATCGCGAAATATTACTTGTAATTCATATATATTAGATTAACTAAATTTAATATCTTCCAAAATGATAGAAATGGGACGATTGGCGAGGTTGGTTAGAGCTAATACTAGCATTAACTAAATATAATATCTTCCGGTCGAAGGCACCGTGCCCTGCTAGTAAGATTAATAGAAAAGCCACATTAGAAAATTAACAATAGAAGCAAACTAGTATTTTTTTTTTTTTTGGACTAAAGTTACACACTCCAAAATATGAATAATGGAACAGGAAGATGGAAGAAACGGTGGGGTTAGTGGGAAACAAAATACCAGATGATAAAAAATTAGGACTAATTACTGATTATTTGATTTTCAAATATAGCAGGCTATTTTTTTTCTTCTTTTTTTATCGATAAAGGATCGTTTCATTTCAAAAAGGAAATATAGATGGATACATGAGATGTTCTCCCGAACATGACAAGTTCAAAAAAGAGAGGGCGAGGGAAATGAGACCCGATTCAAAGGAAGAGTGTTGCGGAGTCGGGCTCTGGCGACCTAATCCGCAACATAGCAGGCTATTTTAGTCGGTTAACAACAAGCATAGCTAGTGAAAAAGATGAGAGAGAAAAAAGTAGGGTGAATTGGTGATTTCCGGACATAAACAGCCAAAGAGGAGGTGGAAATAGTCCCGCTCTTTAAGGAATTCTGAAGTATTTTTCGGAGAGAATTATTGAGTAAAAGCAAGATTGAAACATCAAAAAACTTTTTTCTATTTCGATCTCAAATACACAACCAAACAACGAAACACCATTCGTTTTCCTAGAATTGATTTCAATATGGATAATATTTTACTCTATAACGAAATTTTCCCGTGAAATAAACGCATGTGCAAGATGCTCCATCCCTCTAAAGAAGAACGAATGTTCAGCCAAAATATTTCTTCCGAACTTTTATCAATTGGGATCGACGAAAGAGGCGTATCGACAAACGAAGAAAGTTCTCCGGCCGATAATAAATCGTCGTCTTCATATAGCTTTTTTTGCCGAGACGAATTTTCATAATCAGCACGAGGAATAGCGCACTTTCTTCTAAAAGCTTAAACCGTGAGGGATGAGAACAAACACTTGCGGCGCGCGAAGATACATCAGCCAGAAAAAAGCGGCCCAATACGGGTCGGGTCGGCCCAAGACTTTTTGTCGGGTCGGGTCGAGACTTTTTCGGGTCGGGCCGGACTTTTGTCGGGTCGGGCATGGACTCAAAGGTTTTCAAAAGGTTCACTTTGTTTGGGCAGGGCAGGGCAGCCATGGATTTCCAGTGCGGCGACGCGGCGCAGTGGACCCGAGCTCTCGCCGCCTACTCCGACCGCATCGCGGCCCTCGACAAGCCCGACCTCCTCCCCCTCGACGACTTCTACCGCCGCCGCCTCCCCGCCCTCCTCCGCGGCCGGAGCCCCGACCCCTTCATCACCCGCCCGGAGCTCGCCCAGCTCATGCGGTGGAAGCTCGCCCGCGGCAAGTGGAGGTTGTCCCCCCCGCCCCTCTTTCGCTCGCTCTTCCGTTTCCCCTTAACGCGAAGCCTTTCTTTTTGGGTTTTTCTGATTCGGCTTACGGAAGCTGCCCCCGCGTTCGTGGTGATCTTCTCTAGGCCGCGGTTGCTGGAGTTCGTGTCGTCGCTGGACGAGGAAGCGGTGGAGTCGTCCTCCCGGAAGGCCTTCGGGTCGCTCCCCGACGTGTCGAAGGCCGTGTCGGAGCTCACGGTCTTGAAGGGGGTCGGCCCCGCCACGGCGTCCGCCGTCCTCGCCGCGTACGCGCCCGACGTCGCCCCTTTCATGTCTGACGAGGTGAGAAGCCGAGCCATAAAGTTCTTTCCTTTTCTTATGGGTGTGTTTATGCCTGGAGATTATGTTACGGTGATGTTGACAAACGTCAGTTTTCTTTTGGGTCTGAAAGGCTATGGTGGCTGCTCTGGGACACTCCAAAGATTACTCCTTGAAGCAGTATTTGCTGTTCGCGGAGAAACTACAGGCTAAGGCAAAGGTCAGTCTAGCATTTCTTTTTGACGCTTTGCAAGTTGCAAGGGAAATGAAGGGAAAAGTAAGGAAAGGAAGTGGAAGGAAAAGAATGGACTATAAATTTGAATTCACTTACATCCAACCGAACACAGAAACTTAATACGCAGAGTTCGACACTGCAATCATTTACGGCCTTGCTGTTTACATCTGCTGATTAGAATGTGCAGAGTAGTCCTGATTTGAACCTACTCCAACCCTGAGAGAGTTTGGTATTTCCTAGTTTCAGAGATCAACACCATTTCCCTGTTATTGCACTGAAGACAACGGCATAGTCCCATATTTTTTAAGTTCGATTGGGATGTTTATGGATGTGTCACATGTTTCTAATTGGTCTGTGTCTTGCTAATGGACATGTCTTAGTGTTGCATAGTCATACAGCTTGTTCTGCGCATAAATGAACCTGTTGCTGTCAGTTTATTTTTCACTCTCTTAGTAGTTCAGTGTCACCCTTTCGAATGACATAAGAAATGAGGCACTGGGTATTTGGTATTTGTCCATTCAAATGTCTCCAGGAACCGAATATTCCTCTATACTATATAAATGAGGTAAATTGAGACATGTGAGATTTTGTTCTTTGTATTAAAATTGATTGCGCACCGGGTGCAGCTGAGTTAGCTGGAAAGAAATCTGAAGTATCTTCTGTTGAGAAAATAGACAAGCGAATCAAATGATAATGAAATAGACAGAATGAAGGATTTTGGATACCGGGTTTACATAGTTCGGTTAGTGTGACGTACGTCCACGGAAAAAGCAGCACAGAACCACTATAGATCAAGTGATGCAATTAATATTACAATCACACTCGAGCACTCAAACACTCTCGGTGTTTCTCAGTCCCCAATTACAACCGATAACTCACACGGTGTTTAGTACTCACAATTGGTAGTGAAATAATCTCTCAGTCTCACAAAAGAATTGCACAACTTCTAATCATAAGAATTTACTTGGCCAAATCACTCAGCTATAGTTACAACGAACAAACTCGCGTGAAGAAACACTAACTTAAACCACCTCCTCTTCTTCGATGCACCAAGACACACCTGGTGCTCGATGAAAGCTCCCTTATTTTATACTAAACCGAGTATATCTCATTTGTTGTTTTTTTTTACTTGCACGTGGGAGTCATTCTATCTATAGAAGGAGATGAACTTCACATGCTTTTGCATATCCTTTCAATTCCACTTGCGATTGAATTATTGCTTTAAAGAGAGCTCCTCTTCCGGTCTACATCTTGAACAAAGGGACGCCATATCTTCATTTGTCGAGGCATTGTGAGAGCAAGTGAAGGGAGTCAACAACAAACAACAAACAAAGTGTAATGTCCCTTCATTTATGTGCGCCCATGCCTCCATCATTGCTCTCTCTTCTCTTGTCTCTTTTGAACGAAACTCTTCTTAACTTCTTTTCTCGTCTGGTAAGAGAGAAGATCCCTCTCACATGGCTATCATAAGGAACATCCTGACGAGCCATCATGATAATTCTTTCTTCATCTTTGAGAAGGGAAGTGCCCATTTTCCCGTTTTCTCTTTACTTTTACATGGTCAAAGTCTATGATGAGCATTGAGTCCTCGTCATGGTCCTTTGACTACTAAAAGTTGATAGGAAGCAAAAGTAGACTTTGGACCTAGTTTGTTCCGCGGGATCAAACTCGAGACATATTCAACAATCTCCATCTTGGCTCAACGTTTGAGCCAAGGCATGATCTCTTCATTGCAATTTGTTGCTACTCTCTCATAGCCTCTCATGGGCTCAATTGCCACCAAAGTGCTTCCAAGTCCAAGCCATGGTTGAACTTCCCCATAACCATGGATCTCATCAAGATACCAACTCCACCTGCACACATTGCTACTCCACAAGGATTTTCAAACGTAACCTCCTACACTACAGATAAAGCAAAAGCCACAGTTGCGTCCATATATGTAGTATGAACTTGGAAAGAGAGAATGGGAGAATGGGTGCTTCGCTTCTCAAAGATGAAGAAAGAAACATCATGATGGCTCATCATGATGTTCCTTCATGATGGTCACATGAGGGAGATCTTCTCTCTTACCAAATGAAATTCTTGTGATTAGAATTTGTGTAATTCCTTTGTAAGATTGAGAGATTATTTCATTAAGAAATGTGAGGGTTAAACACTATATGGGTTATTGGTGTAATTGGAGGTTGGAAACATTGAAAGTGTTTGAGTGCTCGAATGTGATTGTAATCTCTATTGTATCGCTTGATTTATAGTGAAATTTTGTGCTGCTCTCCCCATGGACGTAGGTCACAGTGACCTAAATCAGGTGTCCAATACCGTTTCCTTCGTTTTGTCCATTTCATTATCTGCTGCGCCCCTGTGACTCACCCTTGTTGGATTTTATCTTCTACTAGTTTGCTAGATATCAGCACTCGTAAAATATGAAGATGGTATTCCCCTCTCTAGGGTGCAAATGATCATAGTGGCTCTTCTTAATGTGGAAGTGTGTCTAGCTTTTTCCTGTAGCACTAATTCCATTCTATGTCAACTATTGACATCTTTGTGACTAAAAAAACAGCCATACGACGCTTTCATAAGAGTCCATATACTTTTCAGGATGAGTTTTGTTAGTCATAATGATTAGCAACCTGAAAACACGCATGATTTCTAACCATGTACAGAAAGTAAGTTGGAGGAATCATTTGAACCAATGTACTGTCCATACAATATAGAAAGTTGTCTGCACTTATCTGAAATTTTGGTTATACATATCAAGTACAAAGAAATGTACTTAAGTCGGAGAATGCTCTGCAAATTATTGTTTTCAAAATGGGCTGCACTTTGTTTAAAAACAAGAAAGCTTCTTTTTGTTATGATGGGCTTACTGATGGCCACAGTAAGTGAACATGTTTTGTAGACACTATTTCCTGTGGTGATGATGTATGCTCTTCTACTCTAGTTTAGTCTATCTTATGTTGATCTGCTAAAAGAAGTTAGATTAAAGAGTCCTTCAACAGTTAACCGTGCATGTTTGTTTTGATGCTGGAGTTGATAGCTATAATCAGAGTAACTACTGAGAAATATCTTAGGAGACAATTGCAAAAACGTCCTCTGTTTTTGGTCATCTGTTTTTTGCATCCTTTAGTTTCAAAACCTACAGTTTTCATCCTAAGGTGAAAATGCACGCTACATTCTGAAGTTAAACACCGTTAGGAAAACGTTAGGGAAAAAAGATAGAGAGTAGATGCTGCTAAGGAAGGGAAAAGATAGAAATAGATGGTGCAAAAGGTAGGTTTTTCGAAACTTTAGCATGTCTGGAGGGTGTAAACTGAAAGTTCTGAAGTTAGATGATGCAAAGTGTTAGCTAACAAGAAAGTTGAGGATTGTTTTCGTGAACCTCACAATGTCTTAGATGTAAATCTCAATGCTTAAGTTCAATCATCATCGTCTACTATATTATGCGTTTAGCCTTCACTTTTTAAGCAGCATAAGCACTTCCAGGAATTAAGCGCCGAGGGGCAGCTTTTCACACCATCAGACGTAGAGAGGGCCCTGTGGTGTTCCGCTGTTGAGGCCAAGCTGGGAAACTCTCAGTCGGATTCAGTCGCGAAGACTGATGGAAACAAAATGTCCAAGAGGAAAAGAAAAAGATGATTTGACGCGGCGGTCAACGACGTCAGGTGTTCGCTAGTCTTTGCTGCGTACTTGTACATAATGTATGTTCGTGCTCCTGGTCCAGATCGAGGAAAGACCACGAGCAACGCGATTGCTTCCGGTTTTTTTGCTGAGGGAAAAGTTATGGCATCTCTCCTTCCTTCCACGGAACCCAGTCCACAGTATGTCGCGGAAAATTCTCCGGTCTCGCTTCACATCCTACATGTGAAGAAACCGCCATCGGTTCACTAATCATATCTATCATACAGACCAAGGCCAAAACGGATTAGTTTGGGAAGTTGGGTCTTCATTTCATGGTATTTTCCTCAATGTTCCTCATGAAATTTGACCTTTCAAAACTTCTCGAACCGGCCCGGTGAAAGCCTTCGGGTGCGACGTCGATTTCAGCCCGATTTTCTCGAAACTAGGTTGGACATGGACGTGTGGGTTAATGTGATTGGACATGAATGAATCTCAATGTTCATAGGCCGATGATTGCTCGATAATCAATTCCTTGATTGAACGAGGACAGAAGCAATCTCTTTCGAACTTATATGCGCCTTTTGTTGACTTTTGAAGTTCTTTTTTCACGGGGAATTTCGTGAAATGAATTTAGGGTGTTGGAATGAATCAAATCTGTGCGCGAGAGAGGGGCAGAGATCCGAAGAGAATATCCCTCTCGCCATGACCCAACCGATCCACGTTCAAAGATAGCTTCTTCTTTTTTTGGCCTTTTGTGTTTACTTTTTTTGAAAATATTTAGGTGGTTTTGGTTTCTTTATTTTTTTTTAAGGGATTTAATTTTTTTTTTCTTTTTTTTTATAGGGAAACTAGAGTGTTGTCTGCATTTGGCGTTGAGAATGGAATCCAATGGCTGTTGATTTTGAAGTGTCCTTGTGTACTCTCTGACGCACCCGTGCAATAAGAAATTTATTGTGACCAATAAGGAAAATGTTTTGAGTTGTTTCTTGAAGAGCATGATTTGAGAAAACTCCAATGTAATGCCGTCAAAAACCGAACCGAAAATTTCGGGGCTTTTCGGTTTGGGTCTTATTCGGTTCTGGTAATAAGTGAAGGATTTCGGGTAATCCGATGGAAGATTACCGGACAAAATTGATAGAGAACGGATAGTGTTTGTATCAATTCGAGTTTTGTTAGTCTTTTATTTATCTCCTACTTTTTCAAGTAATTGCTTTCTAATTTCTGATTTACTTAAAAAAAAACCCACTATTGATTATGATCAGGGTTCAGTTGTCGGTAATTAATACTATAAATATTAGCTTTTGACAAGTTTTTATTTCTATTTAGCTTTCTCCATATGACTAAATACGTCGATATCGAATATTCTGTCTAAATTTCGTCCCATTTCTTGCTATCCGTTTTCCTTCCCTTTCTACGCGATTCCAGACCTCTTTTCTCTCAATACCTGCTTCCATTTCTGCACCAATTATCATCTTAATTACATAGATTAAGATGAGAATAAGTGTGTTTTACCATAGAAGGCAAAAACAAGTCATGTCAGAGAACAACACATTCCATGTGAGACGTGTAATTACGACACGAAAGGCCGCAAGATTTGTCGGTAATGAGGTCACGGTAGTACTACTAAACAAATGAATAAAGAGCCTTATTGTATCATAATAAGACACTAGCTCTCCCCCGATAATCAAAGCATTTTTAATTAAAGATAATGATGTTTATTGCTACAGGAGGGGGGGACAAACCCTAGCTCTCCCCACATGGCAGTATGGCCAATTGGGTAGGAAAACAGCTCGAGACAACGGGAGCTTGAAGTTACGAAGTCGCTTTCATCCATGGAAGTGCTGATACAGATGCTTCAGAGTAATTTCCAAATTTTCCATCTTCGAGAAAGAAAAAATAAAAAGGGAATGATTGTTTAATTCTATTGACTGTGTGTTCTGGCATTTTGGAGTGCGTTTGGAAAGGAGAATTGCATTTTATGTGATAGATTCATGTGGCGGGAGCCGGGACATGTGTTACGATTGATCGATCGGTCGGTCAAAGGGTGAGATGCATGCACACGTGGGGTCAGGTGGGATGAGATTCATAATGTGCGAGCAATGGCGATTGCTCGGTCGCGCCATGTTTTCTCTGCCACGTGGTGTCTCCGTCACATGAAATACTCTCTTCTTGGAGAAGAATGTATCGTTGCGCCACACAATGATGATTTACCTCGCGAGATTAAATCTAAAGAAATACAATCATGTGGTTTTTCCTAAGTGATTATTTAACTTGTTGCTTATAGCAACACAATTTGTCAAATTGATTAGTGAGGAAAGTTGGTTCTCTAAGTATCTACGAAAATAATACGTGACAACTAAAAATTAAATGGAAAAGTATTAATTGCAAGTTGAATTAGTTAACGATAACACTTAAGGTATTTTGCTTAGAAGGGAAAGACATCCATATATTTAATTAATCTAATTCCTATACGGGTCCATCCATATTTAGGATTATCGTGAAAGATTAAATCTAGGCTCCCGCTATTCCCTCCCTCTAAATGACTATAACACTCTTTAATTTATTGAGTTGACGATAATATCCTCAAGAGAACTAATTAATCAAAATTACAAATGGAAAGAGTGAAAATTTCTATCTATTGAAAATGCAAAAGCCGCGCATTGTCATGAAAATGCAAGATTGTTCGTATTTATCAAATTAATGATGTTTTATTCTACCGTCTTATGTTATTTTCCGTTCCATTTTATATGAACTTTCATTTTCTCTCTTCTACTTACTAATGTGATTGTATCCGCTTTGGCCCGTCCCATATCAAGTCTCACGGTTTTATCATTTGGCTTATAGATGGGTATCTTCACAAGAGGTCACCCATTCTAGGAATGCTCCCACATGAGCACGGTCAAAAGGCGCCTCCGTGAGTTAATTTTAGTTTTCATATATATAATATTTATATATTTGAGAATCGCTCTCCTCCTCCTATTCGGTGTACAATTCAGTTCCTCCGTGCCCCATTTGACATCCTAAAACCTGCCAGGAGAAGCTCCTTGTCCAGTCGGTAACCACTCCCCACCCTCATTGGACCATGTCGTTATATTAAACTTTAGAGACGTTGGAAATAAATGTACTTTATTAATATTCATTTAAATAAGAATCCGACCTTTAAACTTATTAACATACTCGAATCTTAGATGATTCTCGTAAGAAAGCAACAAACATGTAAACATCTTCGATTTGAATACAAAAGAAGAAGAAGCAGCATTTTAGAAAGCGATACTAAAAATCATTAGATTGATTGATTTCCATTAAAGGTATGTATTTTTTTCCTCTTTCATCAATCTCACCACTATGTGCTCCTAGCGAGGTTACCTTTGACCATTAGATTTTAAGGTGTGTCTAAAATTATTCGAGGAGTGAAAATGGCATGAGCCAAAATTTATTAGCATAAGGGTTTAGTAAAATTGATGACAAAATATCATAGGAAACTAAAACCAACATTTTTAAGTCGTTAGTCATTACGGAAAAAGAAAAGGATGCAAAATAAGATAACAATTTTCGTGTTGATGTTGAAAATTATAAGACGAAAGGTTTGAGGATTCGAACTTGAAACTTTTCGTAATGTTAATGCTTTAATTTGAAATGTTTATAGAAGAACTTCTAGGGAAATTACCATTAAAGTTATAAACCTATTGTACTTGTGTCATTTCAGTCTTAAACCTTTCAATTTGGTCAATTAATCCTAAACATTTTGACAATTTGCCAATATAATTCATCCAATCAATTTTGGCCGAAAACCGCTAAAGTGGATACCTGCCGTCCAATATGGCACGACTGATGCTGACGTGAATAATTTTTGTAATTTTTTATTAATTTATTTTCTTTTTTCCTTCTTCTTCCGTCGGTAGCCGGGCCTCGGCGATGGCCAGCGATCGGCCACAGGTGACGACTGGGGAGGGTCACTCTTGCCGGCCTCAGGTGAGGTTACCGTGGCTAGAATCCGATGAGGCTCTCCCTCGCCAGCTTCAGGCGAGGCTTGACCTCCCTAGATTTGGCAAGGGCGACCATCGCCGGTCATTGGTCATCGCCGAGGATTAAAACTCAATTGGTCGAATTAAAAGGTTTAAGACTGAATTGGCACAAATGCAAAAGATTAAAGGCTTTTTTGGTAATTTTCTCAAGAACTTCCTTAGTAAACCGATGCAACTGGGCGAAACTCTTGCTTCGTGGCCCATCCGCGCGGCGTAATACCCGCTTTTTTCAGATTTATTTTTACTATATTGTACTTTCTGGACCAAGGTTAACTTGGAAAAGTACATATTTGTTTTGCTATTTTCAGCTGATAACTTTCAAGAACCCTAAATGTGCATTTCATTGCTTGAAACCCTAAGAAGTACAACGTAATCCGCCGGTATCTTCTTTCGTTTTGAGATCCTCCGAATCATCGTTACACGACAAAACAGACAACGATAGATTTGTCCTACGTTCGCATTTTACGTGCGCGATGCAATAACATCATATATCAATTAGGGTTTGATAGGTCATCACCACAAAAACAAGAACAGGAAATTAGGGTTTGGTTGGTCGACCTCAAAAGGAGCGAAAGGAGAAAGAGATGTCGTTTAATCGCAGAAGCAAATTACAGCACAACAAGCTCAGCAAGACACTCTAAAACTAATTAATCTACGGAGATCGTTTTTCATGCACTGAAAACAACAAGTTCAGATTATAAAACAATGACTTTGCCTCTTGGCGAGAAGGAAATCACTTTCCTAATATCACCAAACAAATGAAAACTAACTAGTTTCTTTGTAAATCATCTCTAAGGAAAATATTTTCTTTTATCATGAAGTTTTAACGCACCCTAAGTTGATTGCGCAATGACACAAAAAAAGAAATGTATGGTACTTGATTCACGGATCAAATAATAGACTACAGGTAAGTTCACTTGATTTCCGACATCATCGACACGATCATGTGTTCGTGCGAGGGTTGGCTGACCCCATTAAATATAAATCCGTCTATAACATTTAAGAAAATAATCAAGAAACGTAGGAACCCCCCTATGGGGCACCTGTACACATAAAGTTTCAATCAAAAGATTAGGTGGCAACCAAGGACAAGGTGTTGGACCATAATTAATGTTTGTCAAGCTCGTAATGCTTGCACAAGCGGACGGCTAATGGAAATAAAGGGGCCAGCTAGATAACGCGTGCATTAAATTAAGCAATGTTTGTGTCCCCAACATATGTTATGCCCTATTGGTGACGTTGGCCCGCGCGACAATGTAACGAAATTTCGGGTCATCATTGACAAATGTCCGGCGTTCGCTTCGTTAATCTCGATTCTTTGTACATAGTCTATTTATTTTTCCGTAGTTGCATGTGAACTACTTAGTTCAACGCTCGTTCAATGCTCACCCTTATCTTGATAAAAAGTCAATATCACGAAAAACCCCAAATCGATATACTTATAGCAAATTCACTCCAAACTAACTTTTAGACCACAAAAAATCCCAAACCGATACATCCGTAACTAATTTACTCAGAA